GGCTCATTCGTGATGAGTGTGTTTGATGGGGTCGCTGTCAGATCATCCGTGCTGACAGCCTGGCTAAAAAACACTTATCATAAGATGTTTATTTCCACATCGTGTCATCTAAACACATCCAGCACACCGACACCTGGTTATCTTCCCCTGAGCTCCGTGGTTTGTTGTCCTAGAAGGCCCCCTGTTGGCGGAGTCCAGGAAAAGTTGAACCTCCAGATGCCGGGGACGTCTGACGGGAGGGGCTGGCGTAGCAGACCTGGGGATGCGTTGTGCAGCCGTGGAGCATCTTGAAATGATCTCTCGCTGATGAAGGCCCTCCAACAAAAAGCTTCTGCAGCTCCCCTGAGAGGAAGGTGGAGTGACGAGCCAGGAGAACCTCTGGGACCTCGTTCTCCGGCTGCGATGCGGGCCGGCAGACCGCAAAATAGGCCCACCGGTTGGTGATGACGTCAGCTGCCCTGCAGACGGAGCATACTGCAGGGGCCGACAGCGCCGTTGGCAAACAGCCGCGACGAGAGTGGAGCGAGCCGAAGGTTAGAGGGCCCACAGTCTCTTCCCGCCTCTGAACGTGTACGCCAACAGTGTAACGTGTTGTTCGCTGCGACCGTCTGGAACGCATGCTGGTGAGCTCAGTTGGAGAGCGGTGTCACCGTCTGGATTACGCTAACCGGAGGCACGGGACGCTGGTCCACCTGAACATCTTGCTCCGATGAAGCCTCCGTCAGGCTCGGCTCCAGGGGGCACTGAGGGAATGTCCGCTCGGTGAACCCCTGCTCTGGAGATGGGCGCGGACTTTGGAGACCGGCCCCCCAATCTACCAGGAAAGCCGGCTGTGGCCTCGCCCGTAGGACGTCCTGTTGGGAAACCGAGGCCAGATGGATCAGGACGGTGAGCCGGAATGGAGCCTAGAAAAAAAAACCTTCCCGCCGGATCATCCGAACTAGCGGGAAAGGCGCGGGACGTAAAAAAGGGTCCCTTCATGCCAGCGGCTCCTGGATTATACCGGGCAACCCCAGAGGGTGCCGTCGGCCGGGAGCAGTGTGATCGCCGATGCGAAACGAGGTGGGATGAGGTGAGCATTCGCTCTGCCCCCCTCCACCGACACTACGCTCTCCAGGAGGGAATGAGCAGCGGGGGGCTGCAGCTGACGTGGCCTGTCCCGGAGGAACCATCCGATTCGCTCCGAGGGTTGGCGATAAGAGGAAAATTACAAGATGGCATTTTCCAGTGTGTAGCGACCTGTCACTGAGAAATACTCCTCGGCGCTTACCTTGAAACAAGACTGCTCGTCAGCTTGTCCTCGGGGAGGAGAGCTCACCGGGACGACCGGATGTTGACGTGACGGGCCAAGCATTCTTAACAAAGAGGTTGGTCATCTACACAATTTTCCTTCTTCGTACTTCTGACAGTGCTATTAGCTCGCTGAAGAAAAAATGGGAGCCCATTTCCCGCTCTTAACGTAATTTATACGGACCGGGTGGGGCCCACCCAGCAGGTAGGCGTGGACTAAATTTTTTAGTGCAATGCTTCACATATCGGGATAAACCCATCAGCGACAGCCTTAAAGTGCGAAGCCTACACGAAATAGAACTGCTACTATAGGGCGAAAAATAGGGTAGTTTAGTATAAAAGCTTTGGAGGTAACGCAAAATCTAAAAGGCTCAAGCTGAGGCCATTTGTCCTCCATCTGCAAATGTTCATGTAGTCTGACTGAAATAAACATTTGCTTTTCACGGGCACCTCTACAACCCAAATTAGGACAAGCGAGGGGGAAAAATGTCCCCAAATTATTTTTTGTTCTTTATTAATATAGCATGTGTAGCACATTTTTATTATGAGAATAAGATTTTAACTTTATGCTTGTCACAAGCAGCTTGTAATAGAAAGCGGAGCTCTCTCATAATTTGCACGAACACCAACCAGCCTTGATGTCAGACTTGTTCCTCCTCATTTTGAGCTACAGGCTGAGTCATTTTTCCATTCTGTGTCGGCGCTCTCTATTTCAAATCAAAAGGCTGAACGTCAGACGTGCAAAATTACATTCCAGCTGGATGGAGCTCGCTTCGTCGCATCCTGTCTACATAATTTACTCAGAATGCATAGTAGCGTAAACAACATTGTGACATCTGTGAGACATTCACTTTAAAAATCTGGAAAAACTAAATAGCCTAGAGTATTTTTATGTTCCTGTTTGATAACTGAAGCAAATGTCTAATATAAGGTTTATTGTTCCAATCAGTCAGAGATCCCCCTCGCATCTCATGCTCGCATCTCAGGGCTCCTTTGTATTTATTTTTATTTATTTATTTACCCTTTATTTATACAGGTAGTCTAACACTGAGTCACAAGAACTCATTTACAAGAGACCTGTTTGAGAGCAGATGGTGGGGGTTGAGAGCCTTGCTCAAGGGCCCATAGTGGGGCAAATGAGGTGGAGGCAGGTGTGGGTGCTTCACCTTTTCCACCCACATTTTGATGTGGTCAGTCTGGGGAGTTGAACCTGTGACTTTCTGATCACAGGTACATCTTCTCTAACCTCTGCGCCACCACTCCCCCAGTTAGCTTTGTTTCTACTTAAAATTTGTGATCAAAGGTTTTATATGTTAATATATGTTAAATCGAACAGTCCTATATCTGTGAATATCTTAAAATACTCTGTGTAGTTTCTTTTGTATCTTTCCAACAACAAAATCTGACGAAAGACCCAGGTAGTTGTTTAAACGGCAGTGACACTGACTTACAATTTCCCTTTTGCTCCTAAAACCTGCCAAATGTGCTCACTGACTTTTATAAAGTGATGAGAAGGCAGCTCTCATATTGGACAAGGCAGCACATGGTGCCAGAAAACTCCAGATTTGTTTCATGTCATTGTTTGTGGTGTGTTTTGTGTTCATATTTGTAGACTATGAAATGTTTTGATGTGACTTCGTTTTTTCTTTGTCAGATTAGACCTGTCAACCTGACATTTATAGTCCTGAGTTTAAGGGGACTTTGCATCAATCACTTTCCTAACTCTGTAAAGTAAATGTGCTCTCTGCCAACCGCCCACCCCCCACCCCACCCCCCAAAAAAATAAATAAATAAATAAACAAGTTTCTACCATGTCAATCTGAAGCAGCTGTCTAACATGAATAGGGTTGTTTTTTGTAATCAATTGACCAATATTAAAACTGTATCCATCCATCATCTTCCTCTTGTTCTGGAGTCAGGTCTCGGGCACAGTTGCTTGATCAGGCGCGTTCAGACTTCTCTGTCCACAGCCACCTCTTCCAGCTCTTCTAGGCGTTCTCCAATGTGTTCCCTTACCAGCAGGGAGACATTCAAGGATTCAAGGTTCTTTATTTGTCATACACACCACATGTGGTACATGTGATGGAACAAAATTGTAAGGTAACATCAGGCATGTTCAGAACAAGGTTCAGTGAAATGGCTGCACAGACCAGTCTATCTTCCTTTCCTGAATCACAGATGAAGCTGCCTGCTCAGATGTGAGCTGTGAGTAGAAACAAAATTTCTGGAGCAGAACTCTGCTGGCCTGAAGCAAAGAGTGGTGCATTCAATGTGTGTCGGACATCTCCCTCGTGTTATTTACTAAATTGAATTAACAATTTCTTTAAAAAAAAAAAAAAAACTAGTTGCTGAGCATCATCGTCAGTATTCCCTTCTGTAATAAATCTGTTGTTCACTCCAACAAGCTAGCAGTCGCAGCTAATACCGTCAGTTCATCACATAACTGAACCACAGCTCCACGTGTCTTCGTGTTTATTTTTTCTTCATGTCTGCCAGCCTGGTCCTGTTACTTCCTCACTCTGAGGCACGGAGGCAGACCAAAGGTAGGCTGTCTTCCACACCCCCATCACAGCCTTGGTGTGTCTTCTGAATGGACTGAGGCAGCAGAACACGTCTCAGTCCCAGACTGAGGTGTTTTGTGAATTAGGCTGTGTAGTCTGTCCAGCATGTTCTGGGTCTTCTCCAGGGATCCTCACAGCTGGACATGCCAGTGAAACTCTAGGAAGACGCTCAAGGGGCATCCTTACCAGATGCTGGACTACCCATTCCGGTCACTGTTCCGAGTTTGTGACCAGAAGTGAGGGTAGGAACTTATACTGACTGATATACAGAGCTTATCTTTGCAGCTCAGCTCCTTCTTCACCACAACAGACCGGAACAGAGTCCATAATACTGCAGAAGCTGCACCGATTAATCTGCCGATCTCCCGCTCCATAAACTTTTCCACTAAAAGACAGCACCTCACTCCCAACCCAGAGAGGACAGTCCACCCAGCAGTTTCATAAGATGTGATGTCAGGAGAAGATTTTAAACTAGGAGTCGTCAAGAGGCAAAATAAATGTAAAAACTGGACCAAACGATAGCACAACAACGTCACAATCACACATGCTAACATGTGTAGCATTCATATTTACTTCATTAATCACAAGGTGCCGCAGGTGACATCACATTTTCTGCGCCTCCGGACTAAACGGTTCACACTGAAGTATGATGAAAGTTGCATTTCAGTTCAACCTTTATTTATACAGCTTAGTCTCATTGAGCCTTGAGGACTCATTTACAAGAGAGACCTGATTTAAACAAACACACAATGGTAATGGGAACGACCTCGCAGAAGTATCATGAACAAAGAATCTGAATTAAGACCTGCAGTGTGAACGTAGCCCTGGTGGTTTGAACATCTTCATGGAGAGAATAATGCAGATTTTGGATTTATTTTTGATTTTAGCATCTGAGTTTTTTTTGTGGAGAAAAATTATCCTTACGCACATTGTTGGAGTCACTGGAATTAGGTTTGTTTCGTAAAGTTAGCTGAACCCGACTGTTCTGATGCAGACTTCAAGGTTGGCAGGTCTGCTGCACTTACCTGTTCTTTATCTTGCACTGTATGTGACTGTCTTTTGTCTTTTTCTCTCCTACCCTCTCTATTTTCGTGTGTGTGTGTGTTGGATGTGTTTGTCTCCTGTCCTCCACCATGACTACATTGACAGAGATCTGGAACAGCCCACTGAGACCTCGGACCCCCTGTTGGTGGAGGGTTCTGGTGACTCAGAGTAAGAGCTCTGTAGGAAACTACAGAAATGTTTAGCTAGAAATTACAAATATTATACTTTCACAGCAGGTTTAAAAGTTGTCCATGCTGTTGTGAACGTACTGCATACTACAGTTTATCTGCTAGTCTTTACATAACGTAAATGTTGATGAATTTTCAACCTAAGACCTGAACACGGTGATCAGCTGATCTGAACACGTATCACAAGACGACTCGGTCAGCTCTGCACATTTGTAGGACTTCTTGCCCTTTATTATTTTGATTGTGCTTGCAACATCAGCCAAAGTTCAAGCAGCAGCTGGAATCAGAAAATGTTTTGTTGAATCTGCTGCCCATTGTGCTGCTTCATAAAGAGCTGTTTCATGCCAAGTTCCATCCAGAGCATGCTGTGGCTCTGAGTTTGTATACTCCCATTGAAAGGCGGACGTTTTATCGTATAGTTTCTGTACCCGTTTGTAAACTTTCTCTTTGTTGCGCCCATAACTTCTGATAGGCTCAAGATAACAAAACTTCATCACCCCAGTGTCAGGGTCATGGTCACAAATCAAGGTCAAAAGTTATAAAAGGTTTTTGCTTGTCTGGGCCTTTGCTATACATTTCTCAATAAAGGTTTGTCAACGGGTGTATAATGTGCCGTATGTGGTACACTTCTATAGTCTGTTTTTAACATGTCCAGGTTTTATATACAGGTCCTTCTCAAAAAATTAGCATATTGTGATAAAGGTCATTATTTTCCATAATGTAATGATAAAAATAAAACTTTCATATATTTCAGATTCATTGCACACCAACTGAAATAATTCAGGTTTTTAATTGTTTTAATACTAATGATTATGGCATACAGCTCATGAAAACCCAAAATGCCTGTCCCAAAAAAAAAAGCATATTTCATCCCACCAATGAAAGACAAGTGTTTTTAATACAAAAAACACCAACCTTCAAATAATCATGTTCAGTTATGCACTCAATACTTGGTCGGGAATCCTTTGGCATGAAAGACTGCTTCAATGCGGCGTGGCATGGAGGCAATCAGCCTGTGGCACTGCTGAGGTGTTATGGAGGCCCAGGATGCTTCGATAGCGGCCTTAAGCTCATCCAGAGTGTTGGGTCTTGCGTCTCTCAACTTTCTCTTCACAATATCCCACAGGTTCTCTATGGGGTTCAGGTCAGGAGAGTTGGCAGGCCAATTGAGCACAGTAATACCATGGTCAGTAAATCATTTACCAGTGGTTTTGGCACTGTGAGCAGGTGCCAGGTCGTGCTGAAAAATGAAATCTTCATCTCCATAAAGCTTTTCAGCAGATGGAAGCATGAAGTGCTCCAAAATCTCCTGATAGCTAGCTGCATTGACCCTGCCCTTGATAAAACACAGTGGACCAACACCAGCAGCTGACATGGCACCCCAGACCATCACTGACTGTGGGTGCTTCACACTGGACTTCTGGCATTTTGGCATTTCCTTCTCCCCAGTCTTCCTCCAGACTCTGGCACCTTGATTTCCGAATGACAAGCAAAATTTGCTTTCATCCGAAAAAAGTACTTTGGGCCACTGAGCAACAGTCCAGTGCTGCTTCTCTGTAGCCCAGGTCAGGTGCTTCTGCTGCTGTTTCTGGTTCAAAAGTGGCTTGACCTGGGGAATGCGGCACCTGTAGCCCATTTCCTGCACACGCCTGTGCACGGTGGCTCTGGATGTTTCTACTCCAGACTCAGTCCTCTGCTTCCGCAGGTCCCCCAAGGTCTGGAATCGGCCCTTCTCCACAATCCTCCTCAGGGTCCAGTCACCTCTTCTCGTTGTGCAGTGTTTTCTGCCACACTTTTCCCTTTCCCACAGACTTCCCACTGAGGTGCCTTAATACAGCACTCTGGGAATAGCCTATTCGTTCAGCAATTTCTTTCTGTGTCTTACCCTCTTGCTTGAGGGTGTCAATGATGGCCTTCTGGACAGCAGTCAGGTCGGCAGTCTTACCCATGATTGCGGTTTTGAGTAATGAACAAGGCTGGGAGTTTTTAAAAGCCTCAGGAATCTTTTGCAGGTGTTTAGAGTTACGTCGTTGATTCAGATGGTTAGGTTAATGGCTTGTTTAGAGAACCTTTTCATGATATGCTAATTTTTTGGGACAGGCATTTTGGGTTTTCATGAGCTGTATGCCATAATCATCAGTATTAAAACAATTAAAGACCTGAAATATTTCAGTTGGTGTGCAATGAATCTGAAACATATGAAAGTTTCATTTTTATCATTACATTATGGAAAATAATGACCTTTATCACAATATGCTAATTTTTTGAGAAGGACCTGTATATTGTGCTTATATTCTTACTCACTTCTAAGCAGTGGCATCTGGTGGTGAGGTCTTGTGCTAACTTATACAATATAAAATCCTATTTGATTACATTTCATCAATGGGAGATAAGAAACAAGTTAACAATTTCATGTTTATTTACCACAATGACAAACGAAGGGGGCACACACACTAAGGCAGAACATCTTGTGCTCTGGACTGCACTGTAATATGGGCTCTAACTGTGTTATGTTAAACATTTAAAGTAATTATCACAAGTGATTATTCCTACTTCAGGATTCAGTGTCTTGTACAAGGACACAGACCTGCTTCAGTGGCTGGGGCTCAAACACCACATCCTCCAACTGGAGGAAAACTGAGTCAAAGCGTCCCCCAAAGTTCCAGTCAGCAGTTCTGATAATGTTAAATATAGTTTGGCAATAACAACAATAACAAAACAAATATAAATAGAACAAATAGACTGCCAGGCTGCTGCCAATTTAAATAGTTGATGTGATTTGATACGTGTTGGGTTCGCCCTCAGCTACCAGTATACCAAATTTCAGTTGCTCTAAATACGGCCAAGTTATCTTTATTTTTCCCTTTTAGCTAAGGTGGCCATCTTGGATATTTGATTTGCATTAGGAATGTATAACAACTTGCTCTCAGCTACGACCATACTAAATTTCACCTCAAATTTATTAAATGTGTTTCTGCCAGCCAGTGAGGTTTTGAATTGTGCGGTCACAAGACAGTGAATTTCCCTTTGGACTGTCAGTTTTATTATCAGTATTTAGAAAAATAAACCTACAAATGACCATTTGTTTACATATGATTAATGTATCCATGGTTATGGGTGCACACTGTTCACTACAATCTAGCATGCAGTGTTTTATTTGAACCAGTCAGTGTTATAATAGATCAATATAAAAAAGAAATCCTCGTTGTGCTTTTTGTTAGTACAGAACCCCCAATCAATAAATACTCTGGACAGAGGTTTGACAGCTCAACCATCCAGGTAGATAAATCACAAAAAGGTTAAATCGTGTCATCTGGACTGTTTCCTTTTGGAAGAAACTGTTCATCTTTCTTCAGAAAGACTTAATCAGTCTGAGGCCTGCCACCCAGATCTGTCTTATAAATGGCAGCTCCTTGATGTGTTTCAAACCAGCTCTCTGTGGATGAGTGAGCTTTCAATCCTTTTTTCTGAACCATTTTGGTCTTGGTGTCCTCAGACTGTTTCTGTGAGTAGCAAGTTGGCCATCTGGCCTAAAACATTTGATTGAGTGATTGTTAGGGACGGATGGTCTCTCTTTACATGTGTAAAGCCAGTTTCTGTGAATTCCTCAGAGCTGGTTTGAAACGCATCAAGGAGCTGCTAATTATGACAGGTGTTTGTGGCTGGCCTCAGACTGACCAAGTCTTTTGGATGAAAGACGAATGATTCTCCCAAAAAGAATCTGTCCAGATGACATGATTTAACCTTTTTTGTGATTACTCAAGACAGATTGTGTCGTAGAGAACTCAAACCTTTCAGAACATTTAGAAACTCCCTCATAACTTCCTCGTTCTAGAATTGCGCTGCTCAAGGTGGCTGCATGTTGGAGCAGCTCTGTTACTTTCATTCTGAGATTTTGCTTTTGGAAACTTTAATTCCTCTTTTTTTGGATGTAAGTCACATTTTTTTGGGATGATTGTTTCCTCTGGTATCAGATGCAGTGCAGCTGGAAGGATTTTTACTGAAACTTTTTTAGTTTTGACATTTGTTATGATGCGTAACCATGGCAACAAGGCAGTTTTCTACAACCAGCAGCTGATTAACATCTCAAAAGCTCAAATAATATCTCAGCTACAGCCCCAAATCTCAAGTGAGTTGAAAAGGATGTTCTGTGTACGCATTCTCATCTACCTGTCAGCTGTGCTCGAGTGCTTGACCACCGAGGTCCTGGAACTAGCAGGAAACATGGCTCATGACAGTGGAAGGACAGGATTGTCCCTCGGCACCTACAGTTGGCTGTCCACAGCGACGAGGAGCTCGGCAGACTGCTAGGAGGAGTGGCCATCACTCTGGGAGGAGTTCTGCCCAGCATTCAGGCGGTCCTACAGGCAGGGAGAACTGAGAGGCCAGCCGAGTCTGGGTGGATGGATCGGACGGCATCTGCAGCCATTTTCTTAGGATCCACTGTGGGATGGACCTTTACAAGAGATCCTTCCTGCCTACAGCCATCAGTATCTATAACATCTCTTAATGAAATGAGGATAACGAGTTACTACAACAAATAATTTCCCTCTGGGATTAATAAAGTATTTTTGAATTGAATTGAATTGAATACACGACATTTCCATTTGTCACCAGCAGTCACAGCTCAGTGAGACACTCGGTTAAGTTTCAAACACAAACAAATTTAAACCACATCCAGCAGCTGGTTTTAAATGGTGCCAAGGACTTGAACACTCGCTTCTCTTCAAGTTTGCAATGCATGGCATCAAGCTTTTGTGCAGGCTGTGCTTTGAAATGCTGCTTGTGAACACCGTCTGCATGCATTTTGGATCTCATGTCATTTTCTGTTCTTTTGGTTCTGTTTGCCACATTAATGCATAATGAGCTGAATTTTAGTTTTCATAAGCTGCTGAGTTTAAATGACCAGGCTGAATTAAGAAGCAGTGGCTCAAAGTGTACAGATGTCATGGGGGGCTGCCTGAAAGCCCAATTCGCAATGTGTACCCCCACAAATGTTGTAGCCAAAGGACCGGCTCGGCACCGTGACGTGTGCTCTTACTTTGTTTGGTGTTTCGAGTTACCATGGCGACGTAATTTGTAAACAGACGCCATCTTTCTAATTAAAAATGCCTGACTGAGCCTCTTAACGGCCACAATGAGGTCACATGACTTGGATGAAGAGGCATTTAAAACAAACGGTGATTAACTTTTGGAGCCATTTTGACTCGAGATGGCTGCTACAGCTACCTCAAAACTCTAAATTGACTATAACTTGGATATTCTTGGAGATATTGAGCTGAAATTTAGGTTGGTCCTAGCTGAGAACAGTCCGGATCACTGAATCCAAATCAAAAATCCAAGATGGCCACCATAGCTTACAAGAAAAAATGACTACAAGTCATTGATTTTTTTTTTTTTTTTTTTCATATTGAGCTGAAATTTGTTTTGGTGGTAGCTGAGAGTGAACCCCGACACAGTACTGTAAAAACAGAACTGTTAGCTGATCTCCACGTGGCAGTCCCTGTCAACGTTTCTCCAGGAACGTTCTAGTTATCACTGCAGTTTTCTCTTTCTAGGCTTCTAGCAGAGGCACAGCAGTAGAATGTGCTGCACACTTTGACTCACTGAAATTTGTAACATCACTTTGGTATAATGCTTTTACTAACCACTTCTGCATTTTTTTTTCCCTTACCCTTTTTTTTTCTTCCTCACTACATTCTCATCATTCTGTTGCTCGGCCTGTTCTTGAAACAACGGCTCATTTGTGTTTTCTCCATCGTTGGTTCTGGTTTGTCCTGTTCCTTCTTGGTCTGGGCTGCCTCTTCATCCCTGTGCTGTGGGCTCTCAGCTCTGCTCCTCCCTCTGAGGATCCTGCTCCTCCTCTGTCTGAAGCAGACGAGCTGCTCGACAAGTAAGCTCTTTCTCTGGATGTTTTACACGGTTTCTTAATGTCAAATTATATTTTCAATGTTTACTGTGCATCAAGACTTAATTCTATAACTTAATGGCAGATGGTGGGTTTTTTTTTATATATAAACTGCATTTGGTCCTCCAAAGGGATTTTTCAGAGTGGTTCTGATGAAAAGTTACGAATAAACAATATCTTATCTGTTATAGGAAACTTTTGGAACATCAATTTGGAGAAATGGAGTTTATTTTTGACGGAAATTAGCTCTAAGCTACTTGGACCACAGTTAAAACCAAAATGCATTGCTGCTATCTGGGGAAAAAACGTAGTAGCAGCAGCTAGCTATAGCATTTCTTGTGCGCCCTGGGATCACTTTCTTTCTGATAAAATAACTGTTTCAAAAATTGACAGTGATGGATTAGCTTTAAAAAAGACATTTGAAGTAATTGTAGTATTAAAGGGATAGTTTGGCCATTTTCTTTAAGTGCTCAGCTGGTGACATCTGTCAAGAGAGCACAGAATACAGAATAAAGGGCAGAAGGGTTCATCCAGGCTAGGCTAATGGTTAGCATAATGAGGGCATTATTCATCTTGGTTTTTGTTTCAGATTTAACTGGACAAAGACTTTTCCTTCTTCAGTCTCTGTGCTCTGATTCACGGCTGATAAAGTACTAACTACCTGAAACTATTTGACATATCATCACTTTAAAGAAAGTTGTGATCATTTTAAAGATGATATTTAAAGATGCTTTTTAAAGTGGGTCCACTCAGACGAGCCATGGTTGGCTTGTCAGTGTGGTCCAAGTGGACCTGCTTGTAAAGCTAATTGTGTCATCTTAAAACAACTCGAGGGATCTTGATGTCGGAATGTTTTATTTAAACATTGTAATAAACTTTTCATCACAAACGTCACTGCTACTTTTTCACAAGTTGTTTTTTTTTCAACATAAAACACAAAAATTATAGAACCCATTGTGAACCCAGTGCTAAAGCAAGCTGCTGCTGCTGTTTGTAGTTACAGATAGCTCCAGCCTATGAAGAAACTAGCAGCGCTGTATAGTTTCTAAAACCCATGAACTGCTGTGACACTTGAGATGTGAGTTTAAAGATCACAGCATTCCACATGTTCCTAGCTGCATTCAGACTAAGTCCTGTTCAAAGATGTATCTGTAGCAGGTAGGATATTGTTTATAACTTTTCCAGATGTTTGAAGTCTAGATGGAGCTTATTTTAATTGTCATTAGTTTAGTTATCTACAGTCAGCTGATAGTCATATTTGGTAATTATTAAAACTAGTGCACTTTTTAGGAGCAGGTTTTAAAGAGCCTTCTTCATAAAGTGGAAATTTAAAAGCTTTTCTTTGACAGGTTTGTGTGCAAAAACAATGGTGTTCTGTTTGAGAATCAGCTGCTACAGATCGGCATCAAGTCAGAGTACCGTCAGAACCTTGGTAAGTTGTCTCAGCATGAAACTGATCCTTCAGCAGCACTTTTTGGCTCTTGGGCACTTAAGACCCCAGTATACTCCCGCGTACGTCCATATGCAGAGGTACGAGCGTACCCCCCAGGGCTTGTCCGTGCAATGCTCAAATTTTTACGAACGCGTACGCGGTGTCGCACAATAAACTGCCCAGCGACGGACTGTTTTGTATGCGATACCAATGTATTAAATTTCCCTTCTTCATCTCTGATCTGGCCTTTTCTTTTGTTTTTGTTTTTTGCCAAGAGGCAAGTGATCTCTTCCTCCGCCGTTGATGCCATGACTGAAATGGTGAGAAATGAAGGAATTTGTCACAAGCGAATTAAACTCAGGTCTAGCATGGCTGCGGGAGGATCTGGAGATTTCGTGGTGGGCTGGTCTGATGTGTGGGCTGTAGAGCCAGTGCTCCCTGTTTGTTTGGGTTTTTTTTTTAGATCTTTTTATTAACAACATATAAACACAGAACATTGCTGCGGCTGAGGCTGCCAGCGCTCGTTTTTTTTCTTTTTTCCGACCTGTCAATCAATCCAGTAGGTGTGTCGGCAAATGACCAATCGGCGACCTCAATTTGTCCCGAAGGTAAACGCTCCTCGTCTGTGAAGCTGCTCGGGGTGTACGCTGGAGTACGAAGTCTGAACCCTCTGCGTACAGTACATAATTTAAATTTGATATTATTTCAGGCTGACATTATCTCCAATGGATTGTATATAAAGAGCTACAAAGATAATGTAGAAAACAATAGTAAGTAGTATTTTTAAGCAGTTTCCATAAGGTGGTCGATAGTTTCCCTAAAGAACATGAATGGTCATAAAGTTGAAGGACAGGACATGGGTTAACAGAGACCGTCACAAAGTATAAACCATATCTAAACACAACAACTGTCTTTCTCAGGGAGAATGTACTTGTTCTACGGTAACAAGACGTCTGTGCAGTTTGCCAGCTTCTCAACCACGGTCAGCTGTCCTGGAGAGCTCCAGTCTCATATTCCTTCATGCTGCTTAAAAATCCAGAAGCTTCAAACCACATTACTGTCTGTTATGACTTGTCCTTTGTCTGCTTGTTGGTTTTATATAAAAATGTAGAAAACTCAACTTTCAAAGGGATAATTGAGCCATTTGGGTGTTGGGTTCTGTGGACACTTTTTGAACAATCAGCTGTCTTAGCTGCATTCAGACTAGCCTTTAGCTCATCAGTCTTGCTAAAATCAAAGTGATTTTCAAAACGGGTTCAGAGAGCTGTCTATAACAGCTCAAGTTCTGTGTGAAGGCTGATTCAACATTCATACAAGTATTAGCTAGCCTTTTGCAGCTTTAGCTGCCTTTTAGCTATTTTCAGCTTCTTTACTTTAAGCTGTTTTTCTTTTTTTTTTTTAGCCTTTACCTAGTAATCTGCTCTGATTAGCTTTATCAAATTGTGTTTCAGCTTCTTCTGCAAATTTCAGCAGCCATTCAGCGCTCTGTGTTCGATTGAACATTTTAAAGTGGGGTTGTTTCAAATACATGGAAAATAGAACACCGAGCGCTGAATGGCTGCTGAAATTTGCTGAAGAAGCTGAAACACAATTTGATAAAGTTAACCGGAGCAGATTGCTAGGTAAAGGCTAAAAAAAAAAAGAAAAACTGCTTAAAGTAAAGAAGCTGAAAATAGCTAAAAGTCAGCTATCAACTATCACTTTAGAGTGAGCTGGTCTTTCTAACCAAGACTGTGTAATTGTAAGTTTCTGTCAGTGTCGTGGTTTCTGCTCCTTAACTCCTGAGCACAGCTTAATGTTCAGTCCAAACCAGTGGAGCCACTGGTGGAGGGTGGAGCCCAGATCCAGCAGGTCCTGAACATCGAGTGCCTGACTGACTTCTGTGACGCCCCGCTGCTCAACATAAAGTTCAGGTAAGATTTTCAGCCATCCCAAAGTGCAAAGAGAAACGGGACTCTGTGAACGTGAGCTGTTGAGCTGTCAGCTTTGACATTTAAATTGTCGTGGAAAAAAGTGATTCCCAAAACAACCAGGTGTAGATTTCATCAAATTCATTATAAAGCTTTTGAACAGCCAGCAACCACAGAAGATCAATACATTTGCAACTTATCAATACCTTCACCTGTCTGAGGCTCTGACCCTTCCGACTTCCCTGAACTGAAAAATCAGTTTTGTAGAAACTTCCAGTCCCTCCCCGCCCTGTCCATCTTTATCAGAACCCAGCTGCAGACATAAGTGGGGGGAAATCTGGAAGGCCAGCAGCTCTCAAGCCTCCTGGAACCACATCACTGGAATCTAATCAATCACCTTGAGGATAATAAAATCTCTTGCTGTCTCTTTACTCACCGGTCACACGGAGACTGATTGTTACAGAGTAATGGCCATGGAACATTTTAATATCATCCACAATAATAGTAAAAGAGCAGTGAAAATTATGGTAAAATGGTAAATGGACTGTACTTGTATAGTGTCTTTCTATCTTATTTCAAGATACTCAAAGTGCTTTACATTACAATCTGTGTCCTCATTTACCCATTCATACAGCACTCTACTAGATCTATACAAAGCTAGTTGAACAAATCATTCTAATGAGACTAATCAGAGCTTTAGATCACATTCATATACTGATGGGATACACATCGGAGGCGATGAGGGGTTCAGTGTCTTGCCCAGGGACACTTCAACATGTGACTGCTGGTGGATTCAAACCCCCCAATTCTCACATTGAAGGACGACTGCTCTAACCACTCAGCCACAGCCGCCCCTAAAATTATGGTGCATGGTGTTGATAATACACATTTCCTTAACAGTATTTCACAAAATAAAATGTATACAGACTTGTAAATAAAGTACAGAATACACACCAACCATTCTTTTATTTTATCCTCGACTAACTCGAGTTACTTCAGGATTGTAGTTCCTGCCAACATTTAGAAACCTCTTCAAAACACCGCTGCGGTCATGGACTCTGCCATGACTGTTTAAAAGTGACATTTCGCTCTGACGAAGCTGACCACAATCTGACTGACATACGTGACTCATACAGTGGTATGGAGAGAAACTGGTAAAACATTTCAGAATAGGTGTGGGCTGAAAATTCATGTGAGCAAATCTAAATAACCGTTCTATCCTGATGCATGCTCAATAATCCAGGTAGAAAAAATCTAAAAAAGTTAAATCTGGTCCTCTGGACATTCCAAAAAAAAAAAAAAAAAGCAAAACAACAAAAAATGTAGAAACGTTTCGTCTCTCATCCGAGAGACTTCCTCAGTCTGAGGTG